TAGGGTAGTAGTCGCCGGAGAGATAATCGGAGTTGAAGGAGGTGGTGGATGACCAACGATGATCCAACGACCCGGAAGAATGTGCTCCTCGATTGCTTGTTCTAGTTGGTACTGGATGCGCTCGATGTACCCGTCGATGGTCTCGTTGTTGCCAAAGTATACGTCAAAGTAGGGTGACTCTAGGATATCAACCCTTCCTTGTTCATCAAAGACAAATCCGTGATCAAGGTCGAGATCCGCCATGCAAGGGCATTGGAGTAACATGGTGGTGATGTCGTAGAGGAGTCGTCGCTTGTAGGCAAGAAAAGGAGGTGGAGAAGAGATGGGAGGCTTGGGGAAATTGAGGGAGAGGGGCGGCTAGGGTTGGAAGGCCAAGAGGTAATAACAAAAATTCTGAAATTCCTTCAGATTTTAGTGGGTTGGGAGGGATTTAATTTGAAATTCAAATTAATCAAAACGGGGGGAGGGGCAGCAATGTGGAGAGGATTGGGGCTGATTTAGTGGGGGAATTGGAGTTAATTTGGGAGAGAGAGAGAGAGAGAGAGAGAGAGAGAGAGAGAGAGAGTCCATAAGGGGGCCGGCCAAATAAAGAGAGGAGGGAGAGGGATTTGTGTTAAATAGGTGGGCCCCAAGCTTTAATTAAAGATTGAAATCAAATCTGAATTGAATTTCAGATTTGATTTAAATTAGGAGGTTACCTAAATTAGGTTTTGGGAATTGGAAAGTATTTGAATTCAAATACTTGATTGAATTCAATTACGAAACTTTCCTAATTACCCACGGCGTATTTTAGGAAAGTGGGTTATGGCAATTTGAATTTGAACTCAAATTTGGAGGCATGGGGGAACCGGCGGCAAGGGTTTAGAAGAAGGGGATGGTGGGGTGGAGGCCGGCGGTTGGTGGTCGGAGTGGCTGGCGGGCTTGGCTGGTCCAGGGAGGCTGACGGTGGAGGGGTTGGGGCTCGGTCCAGGGAGAAAGGGGGCGGTGGAGGAGGGTAGGCCGGCAGGTGTAGGGGGTAGGAAGGGTGGCCGGATGTTGGGAAGGAAGAAGAGAACGACGAGCCGCGAACCTTAGAATCCTCCAAAGGTTAATGGGCATTGCACTCACCCTCACCTAGGGTTGCTGATGTGATGCATGAGTTGAGTTCCACAAGATTAAGAAAGGAGATTGAATAATAACTTAACCGTTTATATAATTATGCTTCAAATTAAAATCGGTTACAAGAATTCGAAAGGTTCCACTTGCTTAGGCAAAGGAATTACAAGGAAAATTAACCAAACAATTTAAGCCAATACAAAGGGTAACGTAAAGCTAAAAGCTAGTGATTTGAATCCAACAATTAATAAGGAGTTGTTCACCTTGAGGCCTCTGCTCTCTTTCCTACGAAAACTAGGTTGAGCGGCGGAAAATCGTCCAAGCTAGAAGTGAGGTTTCCACGAGGAGGGAGGAGCCAATGAACGTTGTCGTGGAGAAGGAACTCGGAGGTGGAGGTGGCACGGGAGGATGGCCTTCGATGATCCATGTGTAGTCGGAGAATTGGTCGTCGATGGCGTCCACTAGTGTCGGTAATATCCGATCCAAGTACTCTTCGACGGTATTGTCGAAGCCAAATCCAACGTCAAAGAAAGGAGATCTTAAGACGTGAATATCTCCGTAGATGTCGTAGAAGAGCCCATGATCAACGGCAGGTCCACCATACACCATGGATTTGAAGACGAGCAATCACCACAAGAGTCCAAGAGGAGAGGTGGTCGGCTAGGGTGGAGAGGCCAAGAGGAAGCAAGTATTTATCAAATCTGAAGTAATATCAGATTTCTGGATGTGGAGGGAGGAGTTGGGTGGAGAGCTCAAGCCAACTCCAGGGAAGTGCTCAGGTAGGAGATAAGGCTTCAGAAAATATTTCAGATTTTCTAAAACTGATTTTTAGTGAGGAGATGAGCTGGAAAATAATTTGAAAATCCAATTAATTTCCAAAAGAGGGGGGCCAGCGAGTAATGAGGGGTTAGGGGAATTAATGGGAGGCCATTAATGTAATTGGAGAGGGAAGCAAAACAAGGGGAGAGGGAGTTTAAAACTGAAATTATTTTCAGTTTTAGTGAAATTGGAGGGAAAAATTATTTGGACTTAATTAGGATTTCAAATAAGATGAAGAGTTAATTGCCTAATTAATGGGAGTCCAAATAGGGGTGGCCTACGGCATGGCTAGAGAGAGAGGGAGTTAGGGAGAGAGGGAGAGAGGTTTCCAAAATTGAAAGATGACTAGGAAAATTTTTAAATTAAATCCAAATCAATTTTAATTTAAATTTGGATTCATTCAAAAACTTTCCATATATAAAATTTCCAAATTTAGAAAGAAATTCAAATTTTGGAATTCAAATTTCAATGAGAAGTAGGGAAGGGGAATGTGGGGAGGTGGTGGAGAGGAAAGATGGCCGGCGGCAAGGTGGCTGGCCGGCGGGTAGGGCTCCAATGGTGACAACGCTCGTGAGAGATTTGGCTTCTTCCAACTATTGGCCTTTGCTTGCAGGAGATTATGGTGGAGAAGACGAACGTTGCATGTAACTACCTAGAGAACTCACTAAGAGATCTCTAAAAGAAAAGAACTCACTAAGAGATCTATAAAATGGAACTCACAAAGAGAACGCAAAAACAAATTTTTCATTCAATACTTCATTAGCCTCATACAAGATACAAGAGCCATATAAATAGGCTCCAAATGAAAGCAAGTACAGAAGTCTAAAATGCCCTTGGGCTACAAGAGAAAACTAATACCCACAAGGGTAAAAATGGGAAAAACTGAAAATAAGCAAGTAATATATGAAATGCAGATACAACAGGTCATCGGTAGTAAAGGCCCTCCATCATGGCCGTCGATCTCCGGTGTCGCCTCTGATAAACGCGCCGGAATCTCCTGTTGATGCCCCCATCAGTTGCTCCTCTCAAGAACTCACAAAGAGATCAAGCAAGTAAACTAGAAATTTCATTCAAAGATCATCATCCAATACAATGCAAGGAGACCTTAATACATAGGCCTCAAACTATGAAAAAAAGGAAATGACACAAATGTCCTCAAGGCTACAATAAAGACTCGCTACCCCTAGGGGCAAACTCGGAAAACTGAAATGACATAAATAAATAAAATACAAAATACATCAAAAGTAAAGACTACAAAATCATGGCCGTCGATCGGCGTCTCCGTCGATGGTACACATGTCGAAATCTCTGACTGATGTCCTTATCATAGTATCTCTAAGGAGCCTCCTATTACCACAACATGGATAATTTTCCCTCATATTTTTGTCCACTTTATTATTCAATCTACAATATACTCACTCTAATCAATTTTTTGGCAATCGATACAAGAGGATAGTACTATCGCAAAACTCTTTTGATCGTCTACAACCTAAGTTATTGTGAGGTTTCTACTTCTTTGGCAAGGGAGGTATGGATGCACACTAGGACATCTAGTTATTTGACAAAAAATGAAATTTGGGTGTTTACCCTCATAATGTTAATCTTGTAAAATCTTTAGTCATGAATATACTGATTACTTTAAGGCCCATTTGAAATAAAGAAAATCATCCTTTGGGGCCCTATTGTTCAAGAAGGTTGAGTTTATGAGTGATAAATACAAATGATCCAGTTGAACTTATAAAATTGTTCGAAGTTGTTCCTTTAGACTTGTCCCCTCCAGAATGGTCTCATGCTCTGGAACCTACTCTTACATTTCCACTTTTTTGAGTCAATGCCTTCTACATGTTGTTGGTATGTTTGATGTTAATTTCCATTTGCTCCTCCGTCTTTTGCATTAGCAAATATCAATGTCAGGCATGTTGATACTTTTAGAACCTTCTTTGGGAAAGCTATCTTTCAAAAACGTTACAACTATATTCCCAAAAATGTTACTCATGATAGTTTTGAAGTAGAGGTTGTTGATGATTCAAGCTCTATTAGTCTCAAGATTCCATCAAAAATTAAGTTGATTTAGTGGAGAAAAAGTTTCAACTCGTGTTCTTTTCTCCAAGAGAAACAAGTCAGAAAATAGCATTTCTTCATTCCCAAAGTTTACTACATTTCAAGTTAGATACAATAATTGCTCTGATGACTGGCACTCGTGGCTTACTGAGAATCTAAATGTGGAACCTGCTACTTACATTTCAAGTTAGATACATATACAATTTTTTTAAGTTATTTTGTAACCTTCTCACTTTTTGGTAATAAAATTTCAATGTAAAAAAAAAGGTAGTGTCAACTTGTATATAAGTACTTTTGAATCCCATATGTATTTTGTCACACCCGTGCCAATGTACACACATACATCCCCCCTCACCTCCACTACCCCCACCCCCAACCCCCACCCCACAAACCAACCACATCTCACCCCACACACACAAAAAAAAAAAAGAAGTTTATGAACCCATAATTAAATCTAGTTAAGATTAAAACAAACAACAGCTTCGTTGATACTTTTTTTCAATAATGTACTTTAAAAATAAGGGAAATGTAAGGAAATATTGTTTGAACCAGAGAGATTTTGAGCCTCACAAAAATGCATATACTCGCTGCTGAAATGGTAAAAAATCCTCAGGAGTTACTTGAAGTTTTACCAGAGAAGTTCTTAGAGAGCAGTAAACTTGAAATTCTAAAGCCCCCTTCTCAGAGGTTTATGGGAGAAGAAATAAATTTTAAGTATCTGTGCAAAATGCTTCATAACAGGCAATTTATGCACAATAACAAAAACTTATCCACATAGTTAAGCGCCCTCTTATACAGGACACGACCTGATTGCGATGTTGCATAAAATAGAAACTGTAGACCTTATGTTTGAAATTACTACTGAAATATTCCATCTTTTTGCTTCCCGAATTAAGTCTGCTTAAAATACAAGACATGATAACTGCAAAACACAGTTACACTTCAAAAAACTACGCAAAGTTAAGGACCATATTTCACTTCTATAGACCGTATAACTTAATGTTTTTAAGGTCATCAAAACAAACCTGGTGGATGTAAGGCTCCATCTGATGCAATAGCTCATATCCCTATCACAAATAACAAGAACAACTGCTGAAGCCACGCAACAAAAGGAAGAAAAATAATGAATGAATATGCAATCAAAAAGATTACTTGTTTGAAGTAGCGCAGATGAGCATCCATTGTGCCACTAACAGCCTCAAGAAACTCAACTCTCTTTTTAGCCTCAATATTGGAAAGAGCAGTAACCTTTAGACATAATAGAGTGGTGCCTCGTAAGAAAAGTATACAAGAGGATAAATAGATATGCGAGAATGAACACGGGTACTTCTCCTTGATGCTACAATTTTTTTACTCATGAACATCTAACTTATAATAAAAAGCTTAGATTTTTGTTAGTTTTATAATATGCCTACCACCAGATCGAAAGACTTTGCACCTACTTGTAGGCAAAATTATAAGATATTCCTTACTCGGAATTAAACTTGCAAAATTTCTTCAAAAAACATAGCTTCTACTACAGCCCTTTATTTCAGTCAACTATAAGTGAAGTGTACCGATTAATTACGACTTTACACAATCACAAAGCGATTATTATAACTACGGCTATAAACCTAGAAATTGCTTGGTCAACATAGCTGGTATAAATGAAAAAGAGGCCAAAAACTTGCACCAAGAAAGGCAAGAAATATGCAATGCTCAGCAAATCAAAGAAACACCTACCAGAT